ATCAAGAATCTCAAGTTATGCAACATGAATCTCAAGTTATGCAACAAGAATCTCCAGTTATACAAGATTTTCAAATTACACAACAACACAAAGTTCAAGTCACACAAGATAAAGAATTTCAAAATACACAAGTTATACAAGATAATTCTTCGATCATGCAAGAATTTAATACTACTATTATACAAGTTAAATCGCAAGTTTCATGTCAAAATATTCATAAAAAAAAACCAAAACTTACATACAAAGAAGTTCAAGCAAAGCTGAACAAGCCATTCTGAATTCCATTTAAAGATATTCAAGATCAAACCCAATTTATTGAAATGGCAAATAATATTCAACAAATTGAATTAACCAAAGATACTTAACAAATTAAAATGACAAAAGATACCCAACAAATTGAAATGACAAAAGATACCCAACATATTAAAACAACAAAAGATACACAATGTATTGAGAATATTGAAATGACAAAAGATAAGACTACTAATATTTTCAAGTTTCATAATTCTGGAGATGTTAAAATTATATTTAATAACAAGTAAAGCAATGATAAATATATATCATGTAATCGAGACAAATGTATTAACATTAAATAAATAGCTGCAATTTGCAATTTAAAGAATTTTAAGCTTTAGCCTAAATAAATTTGCTTGGTCTAGAGAATCTTAAATAGCTATGGCTAAAAAAAAAAAAAAAAAAAAACTAACCAACCTAGTCTAAAGAACTTTAAATAATTACCGCTAAAAAAAGAGTAACTAACCTTAAGAATTTCGACTAAAAAAAAAAAAAAAATAACAATTAGATTTAAAATCTGGATCAGTCCGAGATCCGGCAATAAATGTGAAGAAATGGTATGGAAGTATAAATAAGAACCGTGGAATAAAATTTTCTATTGTATTAGAATTGAAATATGTTGAGGAGTTTTTGGAAGCTGCGTAATTAAGATTCAAGAAAAGGTTATTTGATGAGATAATTTTATCTAGGCGTTTAGTAAAGATTTTAGTAAAGATTTTTTTTAAGGGTTCAATAATAGAAATAGGATGGACTTGGTTAAGGGTAAAGTCCTAGTTGGACTTTTTGGAGATAAGAAAGATATTAGACGATTTCTAATCAGTAGAGACTTTTTGAAGTTGAAAGTATTTGTTTAAGAGGGATTGAAAGATTTTTTGTGCTTTTGGGCTAGCATGTTTGATATGCTTATAGCAGATCTCAGAAGGGCCTGCTGCTTTTTGGTTGGGTAAGTTTAAAATGATTTTAAACCATTCCTGAGTTGAGATATCCTCAAGTAGGTTTTGGTAAAGGGGTTCTAATTTAGGGTGAGATTGGTATAAATGATAATATTCTGAAGAGGATGAGATAGTGCTTAGAGATTTATCATCAAAGTAGTTAGAGAAATGATTGTGAATTGCATTAAGAATTTCATTATGGTCAGTTAGAAAAGAATTATCTAAAAGGAGTCAGTCGATATTAATGTTGTTAAATTTTTCTAATACTTTTTTGTAGAAGATTTTGGAGTTTCAAGAAAGGTCTTGTTGCAGTTTTCTATTTTTTGTTTAATCTCATTGTAGAGGTCTTGCTAGTATTCTTGATTAAGTGCTGTTTTGATAAGTAGGAATTCATTTTTGATTTATAAAATTGTTGGGTTGTTGGATGAAAGTAAGTTTTCAGGGTATTGGGATTGGTAATTGTGAAGGAGAGAGTTTAGATTAGATTAGGAGAAGTGGTTTTTAAGATATTGTATTTGTTTGTATTTATAAAAGGGTAAAGATTTTTTTGTAGTAGGTTTGTCCTAAATTTCTTTAATTGTATTGATTTTTCTTAAAAGGAATATATTTAGTAGCTACTTTAATAAGACCTTTATGGATTTTGTTCCAGTATAAGTTAAATTGGTTTTAATTAGATATGAGATTGATTTTTGAGGAGATATGTTGTAAATTTCGAGTTGTTTGTATTGCATATTCTTCAAAAACTTGTTTAGAGCAGTTTTTTCATAAGAAAAGTTTGTATTTTTTCTGTTTTTGGGGTTTGGGTTTGTTTGGAATAATTGATAATTCGATGGTGATGATATGATGGTCAGATTCGAGTTGGTTGTTTGAAATTATATCTGTATATTCAATGTTAGTAATTGAGAGATTTGTCCATATTTGGTCAATTCTACTCTTAATATTAGAGCTTTGAAAAGTGAAGTTTGATATATTGGGAAAAAAAAAATGATAAATATTTTTAAATTGTTGACATTGTAGATATTTTATAAATAGAAGTTCAGGAATGAATATTTTTTTAGAAGGAGAGCGATCTATTCTTGGGTTAGAAACACTGTTAAGGTCTCCCATAATTATAACTTTGTAATTTGAGTTTTGTATAAGCAGGATAATTTGTTCTTGGATTTCTTTGCGAAGTTGTTTTTCTCATAAGTAGGAATATAGATTTGGAGTAGGTGAATTGGTTGGTTTTTAAAATGTAGATCTAGATCAATAATATGGCCTTTATAGTTGTGGGTACGTGCTATATATTTGGAAATTCTATGGTGGATAAAAATACCAACACCAGCCTGGTGTGGTTGTGTGAAAGAGCTCCAGAAACTGTTAAAGTTTGGAATTTGGTTTTTAAAGAAGTT